AGTAGACTTGCTCTGAAGCGTGGACAGAGACATGGGCTTGTCACCAGTTTTCCTTGCGGCGTAACTCAGCCGTCATCCACTAAGAGAGTAGACTTGCTCTGAAGCATGGACAGAGACATGGGCTTGTCACCAGTTTTCCTTGCGGCGTAACTCAGCTAGCTGGCTGTTGGCCGCCCAGATCCTCTGGAACCAAAGCAATCCTCATTGCTCCCAGTCTGCAGTAATCATCAGCCTAATCTAAGCCTTGTGTGATTTCTATGCCTTGATCGAGGAGGGCCTCAGTTGTGTTCTAAATGCGAACACTCACCTCCTCTCAACAGGCTCTGATTCCGGGTGAGCCAGAAGATATTTGTGATGACTCCTCTTCCCACTTGGGTACGTGTCCCCTCTGCACACTTGGCTACATAGCCCCATCCTGAATCGTGGCTCGTTGAGAGTATCCACGAGTCCGACCACGGGAAGGACTGCCCTCCAAATTTGGGCCAGTGCGTCCCTTTTTTTTTTTTTCCCTTCCTTCAGAGAACAACCCGAGTTGATGCTATGGGTGTGCTGATAGGAGCAGGCACCACTACGTAGCATTCCCAGGGAGGCTCCATCTATTGGTGGGGAGCAGCACCTGCTGGAAAACGGGTCCACCGTCCTTGTTTGCTTGTTTGGACAGACACATGTGATTGGACATGTGACCGTGATGGCAGCTAGGTAGTTGCCGAGTTCCTCGTTTACACCGAGAGAGCCGGCGGTTCACGTCCGACCCAGGCGGCAGTGTACGTCCGAGTCCGCCTACAAAGAAATAAAATTTGGCAGCTGGACGTACACTGCCGCCTGGGTCGGACTTGAACCGCTGGCTCTCTCCGTGTAAACGAGGCACTCTACCAACTGAGCTAATTACCCAAATATGTTATTCCCAATGTAAAGCGCCCTTCTTCCATTCAAAAACAAAACCAATAGTTAAAATCAATAAAAAGACCATCACAGACCAAAATGCAAACAATCCTATTTTACTGAAAGAAACTGCCCCATGGCAGCTTAAGATAGGTGATAGTACCCAAGTCCCAAGGCTGGTTGGTACCCTAAGAGAAATTGGAAACAGATTGGGGCTCGTTCAACACTCCTCGGGGCATCCTCGGGCCCCGAGGACGATTCCTTGGAGTCGCCCGAGGAAATTCCCGCCTTCGTTCCACTCATCCTCGGAAATGTTCC